GGGAATGAGAACCTAGAGTGGGGAGTGGGGACAAGCGATGAATACGGCTGCAAAGTCTGGGAAGTTGGATAAAGCCGTTATATATATATATATATATATATATACATGAAGGAGTTTAGGGGCGTTGGATTTTTCAGTGATCTGAACGGCCCGACTGATAGCGCTTTTACGTCATGAGTCACTTAAAGTACGGCAGGACAGTAGTACCTACAAAATTTTACGTAGATGATGTTCACTCAGTAATGTGTAAAAGGAATAAGCTAGATAAAACATTAGATGTTGTACTGGCTATATAAATAACTCTACTAATCGTGGGCGTAGAACAGTTGCTCAATAATATTGTGACCTTGAAGGAACATTACTCACACGAGAGGCTTAGATGGATCCCAGTTGGGACTCTCGTTTGTGATGTTCTTCAGCTAGGCATGCTGAAAATAGACCGACTCCTGTCCCAGTTAGTACGATCGTTGACATGTCGCAGTATGTTTTCTTGAGAGAAGGTACTCGTAAGTTTGCTGAGAACTCATCGGAAGCTCAAGACCGGTTCTGTTCGGGCCCAACAGGTGGAAGCAGTCCCAGAGTTTACACCAACCTTATGTTCTACTTGAATCCAAACTGGACTGATTTCAACATATACACTCAAATGCCCGCTAGTTTTGTTTTGACGAAAGAATCAACCGTATATCAACCGTCGAATACAGCGTGAGCCTCAATACACGTTCGTGCGAGCAGAGTCACCGTTCTTCAATTCCTGGAAGGAATGGGTGCACGCAAAAAGTGCACAGAAGAATAGACCTTATCAGAGCATGCCAGGTGTTGTCCACCAATCGTTTTCATACTCTCCCTCTAATTGGAAACTGTCTAATCGATCTTGGTCACTTTTGCTTTGTGTTCAGCGTAATATAGGAGATTGCATTGGTCTGAACAAAACGCTGGAAGAAATCAACCTCAGTATATTCGGAAGCAAGAAGTTTGTGTTCTGGCGCCAGATTTGTTGTGGTGAGTATTTGTTACAAATTTGGCTGGCTTCTTCCATTCACTGTCTACAAAACTTCACTGAAGCAGACCAGCTTTCATTGATTATCAGGCTCATGTGTGAGAAGTTGCTCAGAACAAAAGTTTCTGAGGGTTTTGTGTACACCAATCCGTACAGTACTCCCAATGAACGACGAGATTTGCTACCCTATCTGGGCGATTGCCATGAAGGGGAAGAATGGTTTTGCCACCTGGGTCCTAGAATATGGTGGTGATAGGACGTCTGGCATATTTCCTGGTTTTGAGAACGTTAACACATGATATTTCATCGTGTTTCTCTCATGGCATTATAGAGAATAGCTCCTGCATAACTTCGTATATTTCAACACACTAGAGGCTAGTCTGGCTTTAAAGTAAGTGGTACACACGTCCTAATCCAGCTAAGCGTCAGTGAATTTGTCCCTTACCTTCATCTTTCCAGTTCATCATACCTCACCAGTTTTGCATGATAGCAAACAAACCGATGGTGTCATTGGCGAATTGCGGTGGACATCTTAATTCGGCGGTGAACTTGTCACTCATACCCACACGGTTTTGGTAAGGACGTGATAATTGATAGATGACCGGACTGGCTTGTTAGCCTGCGGCAGATCATTAGTGTTTTCGGTGAACGCATGTTTCTAGGGTGCTGCATCCTCCTTGTATGTATGTGTGTGTGTGTGTGTGTGATATCAAGTCCCACACGAGTCTCATGAAATCAACTAATGCAGGTTCCAAACTAGAGTTGGCTCTGGCCAAACAAAACAGACTGGGCGGAGCATCAGAAAGCCAAAATGCTAGTGAAATAACACTAGTATGAGAACAAAACAAATGCGAGGAAACAGAGCAGCAACGAAGCGGCAGTGTGAAATCAACCAATAGTGAAGGAGATAACCAAACCGTCAAATGGCTAAATGCGTCAGGTGAACTATATGACCATAAGTAGGAAAGAAGAATAAACTCTCATCCAGTAGGACACCGCAACCACTGGTCTTGGTGAGCAAGTCAAAAAAGCATACCAAACGGGGAAAACAACAATGGTCCCTGTAGGGCTTCCTGGAGGTTTTGAGGTTGATCGTTGCAGCGTTTAGGGGAACAGCCCCTTAAAACCACACAATTTCCATCGATTTCTTAGAACTTCAGGAAGACCGTAAGTATTGAGGGAGGGTATCTCTAGAGAGGAACTAATTTGGTGGATAAGTAAGTGACCAACGCGACAATACCATCTTTCGTCATCTCAAACAGTATAACGTTTTGCGTTTGGTGCAGTCAAGCATTACTCCTGCACACTTGGTGCCAAGTGAATGCCAACTGAAATTTCGAGTAAACCTTGAGTAAACTTTGAGTAAATAGGCCACTTTTCCCGGTGTGTGGTTCTATTTTCCGTTCGGTTTGCTGCATAAATTATTATCCTGGGTCCTGGATAGATAGGGGGTGTAGTTATCATCATCATCATCATCATCATCGACAGCATGATATCAGTGTTCAACACCGATGCTTCACTGCCGTACAACCATGACTTATTGGAAAGCCTTATTGTGAAGAAAAGAGTACAGTTGGACGGGGTAGGGATTTAGTGATAGCCTACCACAATCATTCCGAGGTGCCTATATCGCCAGACACTCACTCAGGTAATCTGGATAGAAACTGACAACAAGAACGCCACTGACATCGGTTGGCAGCCATATTCTGTAGTGTCTCCAGCCAGGCACAGTGAGGATCACACGGTCCCCATCCTGGAAGGCGAGTAGCACCGACAGCACCCAAGCGCTTCGTAATCTCCTTCATACCCCTCTGCCAAGTCAAGGTTTGGCCACTTCTCTGTTTACGCCACTCTGAATCGGGCATGGAAAGCAGCACTCTCTTCGGCAAACAATGGTTCGGCATACGCAACACATGTCCCAAGCGAAGATAGAAAAAGATTTCATACTTGAACTCTGCATGTACATCATGCGTATGGTTATTATTACATTCTGTATGCAGGAAGATGCGGGTAAACCAATTCGATTAGGACATAGTGATGGCCATCAAAGAGGGGGAATGCTTTCATAAATATGTGGACACTTTATCGCCCTAGATACCTTTCAACAGCATGAATTTTCTGCTGAATGTGCAGAATCACGAGCAGTGTTACCATTGGGGAGTGGTTGCTAGAAGGGGGACTTTCTGTAGGGGGAGGGCTGTATTCAAACAAGGTACAAACACGCCAACAATTGGAAATCACTTGCTGCACTTTGATAGTGTGCCCACTTCAAGAAATCAGACGGCCAAAATGACGATTCATCCGTGTCCATTTGTAAAAATATCGATCGTCTTGGTCAAGAACAAGTGCCCAAATGCATCGAGAAGAGAGGTCATCCGTGTCCGTAAAAATATCGATCATCTTGGTCAAGAACAAGTGCCCAAATGCATCGAGAAGAGAGGTAAAAATGGCCGATAACGATCGCTCGACTGAATGGTTCTTGGGTCAGTGTTGGTCAAATGCTGTGAAGTGGCTGTTAACCGTCCCAAGCGTTGTTCAAGCTGGTCTGTGATGCGTCCAACACAGTGCAGTTTAAACAGCAATAGAATCAGTGCGCGAGCGAGTTTCACCTCCACTTTATAATCCTGGGTATATTTGTAAGCTTATAGTCCCGAATCAATACCGTAGACTACTTTAGTCCCACTTAAGTCATACGAACTAACAATATCCGGCTTCTACTTGGCGGTGAGTTTCTGTTTGTTATTGCAGCTCTAATTTCTGGGTGCAAAGCCCCCAGAACACGGTGAAAGCACGATGAAGTTGAATTATTTTGAATCGGTCCGCTGTCATTTAAGAGTTACTGGAAACTGCTAGTTTGTTTAACGGCAAGAGACCAAATGTTACGATATTTTTCGGAGGAAAACATACATCATAGATTAGAAATCTGGTGCAGAGGACATTCAACCCCTGATGTCCACATGAACGTGTGTTGGTTGCCATACGGAGGGTTGTATCAAGTTCCGGTTGTGTGTACTGTTAGCTTCACTGAAATTCACCCTTCTGTGGGCTGCACTTGGACCCTGTAGAAAAGTAGAAGTAAAAGGCAGACCAAGAGCTTTTGTACAAGAGGCTGGACCGGAATGGTCGTGGAACCACGTGGAGGATGTACTTTGGCATTACCGAAGGAGTGCATTTCGGACGAACATGCTATGTTAGTGAACACTTCTATAGAACTGTGCGGTCCAACGTTATTTCATATCAAAGTAGGAAGTGAGGAGCGACTCCCGTGTTGAGTGGCTCATGAGCACAAGCGTATATTATATGAATTCTTGGCTGTAACAAAACGCTATTTATTTATTTGGGTACTACGGCTCTTCGACTGAAAGCTGATGAACTTATTTAGCTACGAGAATACTTTCAATCCAGAGTTCAATGGAAAAATCCTTTAAAATGGTTTTGAAACAAAAAACATCAAAAGACGATTACTTTTTCCAATTTCATCGTTGAGCAGCTGTACTTTATTTTGGAGAAAGCACAGAATGGCCCAAATGTACTGCTTATTTTCTTACTTTAGTTACCTCACGTTTTGCCTTCAAATGGGCTCATTTCTGTCCCCACTCCCATGAACAACCTTTGCATCCTTCATGTTCTAGTTTATTTGTACTCGCTGACATATGAAAAGTACACAGAGGAATCGTATCAATTTTGTGTTCTTGATATAAAAACGAAATGCTTTCCGCTTTTGTGTAAAAGTGATCGGAATAGGATGTGATGTCCGTCAGCTGAACGGGATTCTCTACGCGAACGTTTCTCGAAAATCCTTGCTTTTTCGGTGAGATGCTCATCTCCCAGCAGTAAACGGTTTCTGCTACACAAACCACTTCTCAATGGGAGCTATCTCAACCAAACGACACAAAAAAAATTTCCGTACCGAAACAAATACCGGTTATTGTGGGCGTAAATGAACAAGCTGTAGCAAGTTTAACGACGGATGCCAGTAGACACAAAATGACTTTCTATACTCCATTTCATTGAATTCGTATGTTCATGTTCCACCAGCCTTGTCAAAGCCATTTACACGGTCGCAATTGATCAATGAATGGATCAATTGGACTGCGAGACTGTAAAACAATTAGCGGGTGCACAATAAATCAATATCTGTCGAGGTCACAGTGCCTATGACCGTTTCTGTCGCAGGACCTGTAGAATTCACATTGCTCCTATTTGAGCATGTCTCCTCAAGTGCTGGTACAATTATCCTGGTTAGTCCACACCACACAGGGGAAGAACTAGCGTTCTTCAGAAATGCTGAGGTTTGAACTACGGATATATGACGAGCGGGGGGAACGTGTTAGCTCTAATCCATCAGCGCATTCTGGGCGCTGTTGAATTACTAATTCTGAGAGGTGTGACTGGTTTGCCGGACTTTTGTGAATTTGGTGCCATCAAGGTCACCATGAAGAAGTGGGACACGCTGAATGGGGAACGCTGGAGAATATAAGCCGTCTCCTGTTTATACCTTCACTCTTTAGAACGTTACCCCCTTCGTCGGCTGTGAGCTTTTTAACAGCTCTTCTACTTTTGCATCACTACCGCCAAGACAACCCGTCCTTTTTCAACAGAATGGAGTTCATTCGGTTGGGTAGGAGTATTTAAGTGCTTGTTGTCAGGCCTCATCATCCTAAAGCACGCATCATGCACCGTATTTTAGTTACTCTAGCAACTAGTACATGGGCCTTCGTGACTTTAGTTAACGGATGCTAGAGTGGCGTGAGCTCAGTGCACTTGTTCATCTGGGCGCGTCTAGCAAACCATGTTTTTTGGCACAGGTCAATCTGATGATGAGATTTGCTGCCATATATATAACCGCCTTGAATGATCGATTTGCACATATTCTTGTTCCTATGCCTATCGAAACAAGGCGTTGGCTTTAGTAAAGTATATGTTGTAGGGTCGTGATATCACAAGTTAGTGTCACAAACCGAGCGACCGCTTTTCTCTTCTGTACCACCAAGTAGAGCTGTCAGAATTCAGGCTTTTAAGGGGAGTTCCCAATGAGGTATAGTTTGCAGAAATCAGCCAATATGACGGGCTCCAACCAAACTAGTGCAGCGCACACACGTAACTTGGTGCAATTCAGCAAAAATTACCCGAGAGAATATGGATACCAGCAGTAGATGAGATGTTGCATACTCACATTGCCTAAAAGGCTTGTAACTTAGATAGAGAAGATGTTCAGACGGACTTTCCTGCAAATCTTTGTTGTTGCTTCAACAGACTCAAAACGTAAGTGCTTGATATACAGGCTATACAAGACATATGGGAAAGCTTCACACTGTCATGACGTCATACTTGCACACCACTACTATTTCGGCAAATGTCTGGTGACTTTATGACAATGGCCAGTGAATGTGCATCACAGATTGGCTGTTCTGGCTCCCCTCTTTCCGATCATTGGTGGTTGATCCACCGGACACCAGAGCACAGTGGACGGATCTAAGGGATGCCAAGTCACTGATACCGTTTTAAACTGTTTGGCGTGCTCCTACGCCAAACTCGCCTTAGCGCTTACAACTAGACGCCGCCGATAAGCCTAACTTGCTCAAGATTGGTTAAAAAATCGGGCCACTCACCGGTTCCGTATTGAGGAGAGCTCTGTTTGGTCGAAAATTTGAACGCAACAACAAATCTTGTCCCAGTACCCGCTAACTACTAATTACCAGTGCCGCTTTCAGAGGGCGTCCGGAACGTTATCGTTGCCTGAATTCTCAATATAACAAACACTACATCCGTTTCTAACCTGTTTTGGGACGCTTAATGCACTGTGTGCCCCTGGTGGCTCTTCCACGGAAAATACTAGCTTGGGAAGAGCAAATCGAGAAGTAAGCCGAGGCATGACCATTACTTCAGTGGGTTACGGGAATGGAATGCGAACTCACGGGTAGAAATCACACTGGATTAGCACAAACCTGAGGGAGTCAAAAACTGTTTATAGCTCATCCCATATATATAAATGAATCATATGCCGACAAAACTCTTCTGGGAAATCACACTGGACTGGCACAAACCCGAGGGAGTCAAAAACTCTTTATAGCTCAAAATCAACCTGTCATCCCACATATATGAATGAATCATATGCCGACAAAACTCTTCTGTAAACACGGGTCTTTCCTCGTGAGTCGGGAGTGTGGTAGAATGCAGCTTTCTTAGCAAAAGAATCCTTTTCCTCTGGTGTCTTGCTAGAAAATCTGAAAGGCATACTTTAGAAATGATCCGATCAGACAGCCGTCCTGCATGTTCATCGAGCTCACAAGACAACCCGCGTTGAGCGAGAAATTACGGTGATGAAAGCTTTTCGGAATATCAGTAGACGTTTGATCCAAATGCACACCACAAGACAGACGGATTTCCAACTGGCCCCAACAAAAAGAGAGGCTGGGTCCAAAAAGAGGGCCACAGAGTCGACGGAAAATCTTCGTACTTGCCCAGAAATGTTTCATGACTGGCTCACTATAGCAAATGGCAGCATATTCAAGGAAGGTTTCAGAACAATCTTGTTTGGGGATATGAGATTCGGGATGGCTGGTGTATGAACAGTGTTCCTGTCTAATCCCAGTACACTGGGTACGAATAGTCCAGTACTAACCAGTCAGTTCACTTACCAACGGTCCAAAAGTAGCTTTTCATCGACACAAAAACCGTGCAGGAATGGTTGGTTACGATTACAGTTTGTCCTCCCAATGTTTCCCCAGGAAAGAAACATTCGTTTGACAAAGCTTACCCCATTCGGATTTAGTCTAAGGGGCTGACAACCCCATGATGATTTCCGATACATACGGTGTAGTCTGCAGTCATTCTTTACTGAACTACTGTACTTGGTTCAGGTTGCCGCAGCTCGTTCCCAGATCGTTCGGAGAGGTAGCGTAGATAGCTGCACATTAGAGCGGTTGTTGATCTAATTGATGCCTAAATGTACATGTTTTCAATGTACTTTCATTGGATAAGATAGAAGGGGGTTACGTATTGAAGGCAACGGCCTGGATGCCTAACCTGAATTCCACCTGAATCTCTTTTATGATCTATTCAACTTAATATGCTGTACCAGTTGATACGATATTCGAGATATCACTATACATTGTGTAGACATAATACACTACTCATAGTGTTGCTGGAGAAAAAACTCACGAAAGTGAGCGAAAACTACCGTTACAGCGGCATACATTCTAATCAGTAGATCCTTGCTTGACAAAGTGATGCATAAAATTCTAGATATCCACTTAGATATCCATCGGACGAGAGTAAATCAAGATTACTCTGAAGCAAGCACCAAACGTGGTTTGTTGGCCTCTTCAGATAAGCTGCTTGCCAGTAGATTATGGAAATATTCAGTCTGACTTGGCATCACTACTCTCCGTTTGGTTGAGATTTCTGGTCTCCGACCATAACTTTATTAAGACCAACTCACTTTTAACTGAATTTAATAATCAATCGATTTACATGTGGGAATATGTGGATAGCATGACTCATGAAGATGATGAAGGAAGGAAGGATATCTACTTCCTGAGCCTGTGAATGGATGGGATAGTGTCGTAAAAACTTCTGAGTGACGAACTATTGGTTGTTTGGGCAGCAGTGTAGATTTAGTAGGATAAGATGAGTGTGTATAACCACGATTTAGCATGAGGCAGTTGTTGTCTGTTTACTAATTAAGCAACGACTTAAAACTTAAATTTCCATGCCATCAAATTTTCAGTACTTTATTATCCAGTCAGTACCCAGCTGTCACTGAAGGTAGTGTGTTAGCGTTCGTTTGTCTGAACATAATGTCACATGCCGATTGAATTTTACACCCTATCGGCTAGTACTGGGTTTGTGTGTCACATCTGTGTATCTTGATGCCGGACTGGGTTTTGGCCATAGAATGCGAAACGGAGCATTCATCGAATATGAGTGCACTTGTCGAAGCCAGCCTGATTTGGGTTCGCGCAGAACACAAGGTTGACAAAAACTGGGGGACTACGCCTACCTGATGAGCCTTAAGAAGGACCGGTAGTGGGTTATCGATGAGTTTTTAGCAACCTTGTGAGTAGTTTCCATTATGACCAGACTCTAACCATTTAACTCGCGTTGGTGACGCGTTATCCAAAGCGTGTTACGACACCATATTATTCACATGCTCCATATCGATCCCCACTCCTCGAATTAATTAATTAATCGATTAATCGTCTGCATAATCCGTGGTTTAAGCGACAAAAGTGTTGATAAAGTCTAAGCACAGGCCTTCGGATGTCTCCTCGGTAGTATAGTGGTCAGTATCTCCGCCTGTCACGTGGAAGGCCCGGGTTCGATTCCCGGCCGGGGAGTGACCGTTTTCGAAACACAAACGGAGCATATGTTTTCTGTTTGTAATTTCTTTCACAAGACTGATGAAACCGACCAGTTAGCATCTGAATTAGGGTTTGGCGGTTCGCAGCGGTCAAACTGCCGGATGCCTGCGAAGGCACATACCCTGTTGTGAGCAAGGCACTGTCGCTGATGCCGACTCCATGGAAAAGACTGTTGGACGAAACAAGGGAGAAGTATGGTGCAAGCCCCCTTGATCCACTTCATCATTTAACCATATGTAGAACAAAGACGACTATACACAAGGGCAGCGAAGTAACAGCAACTAGTGTTATAGGGGTCATATGTGCTGTTATGCAGACTAAACAAGCTTTGAACTGCACCCAGACTAACTGATTTGATTGAGGTGAGGTCTTTAGCGCACGCTGTCCAGCCACGTTAGAGTGTAAGTGTTTATGTTTGTTGGCAGCTGATCGAGCGGCTGTTCACTCAGTAAACACAGCCACTGGTGGCAAACGATGACCAAGTCGGCTAGAGGTGGCCAAAGGTGAACAGAGGCAGGCAAATTTTGCAACGTTATTACCTCTGATTCCCTTGACACACATAGGCCAAATGTATTAGTTATTACATAAAAGCCTTCTGAAAGCCAGGAAATGGGATAAGTTGGATGTTGAAACCTATTTAAAAAGTCACTTTTGAAACTGTTTCTTTTGAATGCACAGCCTATTTTATATGTCGAATTCCGGTCATCTCAAACTGGGTCACCGTCCGCTCGCTCGCTGCCCTAGTTCGTTCATTTTCCTGAGGACCACTGTAAAATAAATGCATTTCACTCAGGTAGCAATTTTTGATTACTTAAACTATCCTTAGCATCATGGGCGCGGTGCAGTGGGCAGACGTTGGCTGTTCGGTGTTGCTCCAGACCAGTGAAGAATATAGCCAGAACCAATCTCAGATCGTTTTTCGGCAAATTTTGTTTGAGTGCAATCAGGTCAATCCTGTGGCGATTGAGTTACCTCGTGACAAGAACAGTTCAGCTCGCATACCTATCCTATTCTTCCGCATACCATGAGCTCCTCAGGTTCCTGGTTTTAGGTCCAAGGAGAGACGTCATGCAAGTAGGACGCTTCTTGATTTCTCAACTTATTTTGAGTCCTTTAGCTCAGGCCTTCGATCCCGAGGACGGGCCGCGGAACAAGCTATGGAAACCTGGTCCTAAGACAACAGATTCTTTTCGCACAAACATACGGCTTTCGTTCTTTGAATGCATTTGGTCTGTACTGAATGATACGCCAACGCTCATGATCAACCGTACGGCAATCGGAATGTGAGGCTTTTAGGGTTGATCTATTATAACCTCTTCCTCTGTGGAGGAAGGCAACATTGTTCTTTCCATAAATATGGGGTTACTAGTCACTGTTGTTACCAGTGGAGAGGCTAACTCGTAACACAACTTTACCCAGTACGACGACTCACTGCACTCTTTCAAGCCGTTCACCGTTCAAATTTCTGGTATTTGCTGAAAGTTGAGTAGGTACTTTGTTGAAAGGAAACGGCGGTTTTACGATCAAACCATGGTTTTCATGAAGTCGACGATGTGCCCGAAATGACACAAAGTGACTTCTCTAAACGTAACACACTACTCTAAAGGTTGCTGAAAGTTCTTCGACAGAACATGACCGGTTTTTCTCTGTCTTCGGGCTAATCAGATAGAAGCAGTCCACGAGTTTCTGTCAAATTTATCGTCTACCTAGACCATAATTGGATGGAATTCGCTATAGCCCCTCAAGTGTACACCAATTTGATTTTGACGACAGAATCAAATGAATCCGGTTGAATCTCTAGTTTGTGATTCATCTGGATTAGGTCCAGTCGTCCAATAAGACGCGCAAAGGATAATATTTGATGAAGAATCACTTCATATTCCAAGTTCATGTGTCCATATGCGTGTACATGGGTAGTCAAGGTGCAACTCACCTTCCCGGATCCCCTCTCTGCCTGGTTGGAGATGCTAAAAAATGTGACCGCTAGTCGATGTCAACGGGATTCTTGTTAAGTTTCTGTCCAGATTACCTGAACGAGTTTCTAGAGGTGCAAGCACCTCGGAATGCCTGTGTTAGTCCAGAACTAATCTCTTTCCCCATCCACTTTCATTCTTTCTTTCGCAAGGGATTCAGATAAATTCTGGTTGTACGGCAGTGAAGCATTTGCGCTTTAACACTGATGGTGCACTGTCGATGTTGTTGTTGTCGTTGTTGTTGTTGTTGTTGTTGTTGATGATGATGATGATGATGATGATGATGATGATGATGATGATGATGATGATGATGATGATGGATGATGATGTAGTGATGATGATGCATGCATGCGTAATCGATTCACGTCCATCCGAGTCACTAGCAGCGGCGGGCGAACGAGCGAATGGCAGTCATTCATTAGCAAAATAGATTGAACGACCACCGAATCACTTATTCAGACGAAAATGGGGCTCACACTATTAGAGGGCTGCGTTATAAAATGGCATAACTAAAACTCAGTTGATAAGCATCACACCAACAAAATTGTACTTTAACCAGAATTTTAGAACGGGCTTTTTACCTTCGCTGTTTTGAAAAGAAAATCCTACCTACCCAACAATCTGGATATTTTTACTCATTTTGTCTACTTATGAATATGTTATCGACCTGTCCGTTCACAATATCTCCTTCTATCGAAGTAAACAGATAAATAGATAAAAGATGATCGTTCAGCTGTAACACCCTTTCGGTGCCTGGTTGCTATGCCACCCGATGGAAGCACAAGGGTCGGAAAACCACCATGTTGCCCAAACCTAGACAGAAGTAGTCGAGATGCAAGGGTTGTGTCCGAATCACAGATCTTTCGATCACTAAGTTCCCGTCAAAACCACAGCTATCTCAGCTCTTTACTTCTATCAGTCACTGTCCACTACTAACAACCCATTTGATAACGACGTTTAATTCCTTTTCCATTGTGGAAAAGGAACCGACTGGCGGTTCATGCAACTTTGCTTACGTCGTTGTTTTGATCCGTCTTTGAATGAAAAATGAGTACAGGGAGCCAAGTTTGCACGTCCCCTTTGTTTGTTGTCATGGCAGAGGACAGAGGAGCCTTCAATACATCCGGATTGACCTTGACCGCAATAACAACGAAAAGCACGCTAAATCTGTTTACCTGTTTTCTCCATTCGCTTTGCAAAGCACTGAGTGAAGAAGTGGGCGAAGAATAAAGTTCATGAAGCGAATTGAGGAGGAAGGAAACATGCGAAGAAAACCCAAGGAAATGCAGTTTTGTTTAGGAGATAGCGTATGTTTTTACACTGCTCAAAGAAAGTGCAAAAAAGATTGACTTCTGGGTTGTACGAAGTTCCCTTAAAACCGAAATCCTTAGTTATCTCAGTTAGCTAAACAATTGGTTTATGCCGCAATGATGAAAAGTAGTTCAGCTACAGTACCCTTTCGGTGTCTAGCTGCTATGCCACCCGAAGGAATCCACCGGGTTGAGATACTGCCAGGTTGCCCAAACCTAGACAGGAGCAGTAAGAATGCCGGGGTTGGATTCGAACCATTGACCTTCCGGTTAGTAAGTTCGCGCCCTAGGACTTCTGCATGCAGTTGATTTCCTCTTGCAATACGATTTAAAAAGAGTATACATGGGAAATACTTGTGTCTTGGGTGCTTTGTCCGAAATAGAACCTCCTTAACATCAGTCAAACTGTAAATTCTTGTAGATGACCCGAAAAGCTTCACTGCAGCACACTATCGATTACAGTTAACTTCATTCTGTGGAGTGTCACTCGAGTACCGCGTTCGGAGCAAATTTCTAAGCAATCAACGGAGGCCGTTCTGCGAGTTCAATAGGTACTTAGAAATAAGCGGAATGAATTTTAGCCGAAGGGCACCTTTGTGAACACAACGTAAACTTTTGTACTAAGCGAGATTCTGCAAAGCCCACGATTTTGACNGAGTGCAAGCGTTATACACGGCTATCTGCACCATTGTTTGCTCTACGCTGATTTAGATAAAGCTGCTAAATTTGCAAGCCAATACCATGTTGTTTGTTCGAGGTGACGTATACACTGCTACACTGCGGGTACTGCGACCATACCATTTGGTTGACAGCCAAGTGGCTCATTGAGCTCGAAATAGGAAATCGAGCCTCCTAACAGGTGGAACGTCCACCCACCACTGCATATTGCAAAGTTATGCAAGTGTTCTGATACGCTAAAACTTACCAGAGTTCTCACAAGTAGCCTACATAACGCGATATTTGGAAGGTCTCCATTGCGGGTACCCTGTCGAAAGCGAATTCATCAGTAAGAGAAGAAAGTAACTAAGGTACACTTGCTTTTGTAGGGGAAGCGGGTAGTCACCTTTCACTCGCTTGTTTGCGAGTATGCATTGGATTTACACAAAGCTTAGATCTGTCACCTGCAGTGTGTGACCAAAATGAGCATCCGTCTCAATTATCAGGGAGAAACATCCTTGCCGGAACAACCGCAAAGTATCTGCAACTGAATAAAATTATGCTGCGTAGGTTTTTACTCGTTCGAGTCTCTATTGTGAGCATCTGGAATTAGCAGTGTTCAGTGGTATCCCACTGAACCTCTGGTTGCCATGAAAGACTACGGTTACATGCGGTTACGCTCATTGAGAAAGTCCTCGGTCAGTAGGTTCGGTTCGACACTAATACATGACACCCTTACAATCAGCACCGTTCTAGTGGACTGCTTGTCGTCTCCAGACACTACGACCTCTACTTTCTCAACGCTGGGTTAGATACGTGAACTATGAATAAGCGTACGTGGACGCACCTGAATTTTTACGTCTAAACTGGTGAACGTATTCACACTTGCTTTGACTGTTTCAACGATGACCCAGTAATTGTCTTGTCTGAGTCGATCGATTGACCCGCCTGTCAGGGATCTCCAGTAAGGGATGGCCATGGACGCTTGAAACATACGGGCCAACCAACCATATCACTCAGGAGTGAACGAATTCGCCAGTTCATATGTGAAAATTCAGATCCGTCCGGCGTGCACCGATGGAGTGTTGGTAACACACTCGTCTTGCATGTCAGATATCTGGAGTTCATACTCTGGCAAGGCCAAATATATTCATGACTGATGAGAGAAACCCGAGCTCACAATTCGCCCCCTTGTGATGTGGGCTCACCAGAGTAATCACGCCAGGACAGGAGGATGACTGTCCGACCCAGAGTGATGTGAACTTGAACTACAGTTAAAGATAGCGAGAACTGTGATGAAAGTTGCTCAGTTCCAGACGAGGCTAATTAACCTACAGGACCACCTCGGCAATGCTCACTGTAACTGTTTCAGGGAAATTCACAAGGCTCCGACGGATCGGTTTGTCAATCAAAGTGCATGCCAGGTTTACGCTGTAGGTTCAAAGTGTTGGGAACTACACGTAGATGACTACTACTAGGAGATCGATGGAGGAGGTGTCAAATGGATGAGTAAGTGGAACTGAACCCAACTCATAGTATGGAGTTTTCGGCATATGTACTTGAATACAGATAGACAAAAAACGTCACATCACGGACGTTTCCATCCGTAAAACCCCATCCATTTCAGGTTGTATATCATGTGCTGCAAGTAAGTAAGGTAAAGTAAGGAATTATGTACCCGAGAGCGGTGTCAAACAGCCGTTTGTGAAATTCTCAAAACCGTGGGGCAGCATAAATATGTTGGAACCGGCAGTATTTATCAAGCAAGAAGTGCTAGACACCGGCCATTTCTTACCATGTTACTACCAAAGAAACCTTGTGCCATAAAAGGGTAAACGGAGCGACGGTAAGTTTCGGTATAACCAGACAGGAGTTTGAATTTGGATCGTACTTTACATACAGAAACGGCATCGGACAAAACTTTTCTGTGGCAGAAAGACGTCTGTTTGTTGGTCAGGATGTCAAAAAAGTCAGCCCTAGAAATCCCACTGCAACACGAAAATTGCTTCAGCGAATTTGAGATGAGGTAGAATTACTTCTCGATGAGTCCGGAGAGTAGACCAGGGAATAATATATCCACTGTAGAAACATACATGTGGTTGTGAGCTGCATTACGATGTTTTGTGATGCAGGTAGCGTCTTCAGCCCAGGTGAGTAAGGGATCGGTCTTGGAGAATCAGTGAAAACCTTTTCAGTGTGAGGGGGAGGTAAGATTTTCTGGCAGGATAATCCATTTTCAGGAGAGGAGCTTTGATGAAATTTAAACAGGAGAACTAACAGAGCTTGTCCTAAAACAGGCTGCCTAGAGTCAATGAGAAAACCACGTATTTGTAATTAGGGCTGTTGAGGGATAAACGCGGCTTCCACCAGCACTTAACGAATTTGTTTCTTTCCGTTCGCTAGGGTAGAGCACGGCATCGTCGACCTACCCACACTGAATGGAGAAAGCCAAACTGAACGTGTGGCTGATATACAGAGATGAAAAGAAAGGAAGTCCTTGGAGCGTGCCACCGTCACTGAGGAGGGCATTGGTGTACATACTTGAAGATCCACATCCTAAGATGGCTCAAAAGCATCTTTGAGAAGGACAATAACGGTACCGAGGTTTGTTGCTACAATGGCTTGCTGGGTTTTGAACAAAAATGGTTGGTAAGATTTCTTGCTAGGGTTTCGAAGCCTCACTATACCAAAAGTAAAGCTGAGAATGAGGGCACTCACACAGTGTAGGTTACACTTGAAGTTTTGGCCCGCAAAATATAGTTGCCACATTGCAACAAATCGCGTGTCCAGTCTTATCTGCCGAGTTAACCGAACAGAACTCGGTGATTTCCCACGTTCCCTCCAACTAATATGGAGACAAGACATTGGCCGATATTTTTAGTAGTCGCAGCAAAAATTTAAATAGTTAAAATTATTAGTAGAAAAAAATTTAAAAATCTGTCACTGTTGGATTCTAGAAATACATTACAAGAACACAAATGTATGGAGGAAGGCTCAGTAATCCTATGTGCTAAACAGAATGAACAGTACATCTTATTTGATCGGTTCTTATCAGACCGAGTCCTTATGGCTTCAGGAATCGCTTGCTAGAAGGCTTATTTGTTAGCTGATTCGACGTGCAGGGTGATATCTGGGAAACAGAACGATTGCTATCTAATCTTGCTTTCTCTGGGGGAGACAGGTGAAAATGTTCAAACTAAGACACGCTATCCACGCCGTGTGCTGAAAACTATCAACCGGATCAAATTTTTTTATCGAATCAATCGGTCACTAAGGGATTTCTCCCAAGCTGTTATCACTGCGGAGTTTCAGTGTATAATGCAAAGTAAAACACGAAAAGCGTCCGTACGAATCATTAGCTAACCAGTTACTCCTGATTCGAACGACCGTGTAATATGTCGCCTTGGATAATGGGTAATATAAAGACCGAAGGGAACGCTCGCTTCTGTATTCCTGATTGATCGACCGTTTCGGTAATTAGATACGTTACAACAACGTACCGAGTCTAATTGGAGTCTGCTAGGGGTGAAAGGGTTTTCAATCTTGTAAAGTAAGGGACAGGAAACTTTACTTATTTATTTATTCACGGTTGTTAAGCTATTTCTTCCAAAAATAGAAGCATTTGAATTGAGGGTTGAAAATTGTCCCATTGTCTGTTTTGGAGTCATGCGTTGTAAAGATATTGACACAGTCAACCTCAAGTTCTCTCGCACAAATACATACTGAAACAACTTTCCGCGTGGTCGTTAACAAACAAACAGTGAAGTGCACTCAAAGCAGAAGCGGTACGTGAACACAGCACTGTTTACCAACCGTGCTGACAATGTTCCAGTTGGGTGTGGGAAAATATACTTTCGGAAAGTGTGTTTACATCCGCATTCAGGCGGTTTCAGCTTTCCTAGAATCTCCATCCAGAATGGTTTGTTGTACACCGTGAAAGGTAAACAGCTTTTGTCGCAGAGCATCAAA